CTCAGAGCAACAGATTTTTCCTGATGCATAACTGCATGGAAAATAGCTTTCAAAGTTCTCTTTGCAACTCCACGTGCCCTCATGTAGCTGGCTATTTACAAGTGCTCCTCCATTTCATGACTCACATGGACTCTTGTACAATCCTGACTGATAAATTCCCGAGTTCCATCTCCTTTGCGAGACTAAAGGTGCGCTCTTCAAAAATTCCATTGTTATGAATAAACCCTCTCACAGTGTACTCCCTCGTCCCATCAGGGACTTCACCTTCTTTTACACACCCATTCACTTTTTCTTTCTTCCACTAATAGGGAAAATTGAAAACTACCATGTCTATTTTCCGTCAAGGTACACATTCATTCAGAAGCCATTTACAACAAACTTAAAAAAAAAAAAAAATCTTCTATTTTATATAAGTAGTGCTCTCTAATTATTTTACTCCCAACCTTCAGGGTAATGTTCAAATGTGACATTTTGTTGAATATATGTTTGTTCAGTAGGCGAAGAACACAAAAAGAAATACAGTACAGACTCATTATGGAAACACTGCTGTTGCTGAGAGTTTATAAATGCTCTGTTGCATTAACACAGCTAACCCTAGAGATGCGTAACCTCTTGGTTTGTCCTCCGTCTTTCACTACCAGAACACAAGGCCACGTTACCGTCCAGTGTCTTACACAGTACCGTAAAAGAGAGATGACAGGCAGACATGGGGGTTCAGAGAGGGACCAGCTTCATCATGAATGCAAGGTAGCTCCCAGTAACAAAACTTTTGTAGGAACACATAATCCTTCATTAGCATCACCTCTGTTTCCTAATACAATCATTGCACACATGGTTTACAGGAGAATTATGCTTCAGATACCTTCTCTTGTTTATTAAAATTCCGGCTGTGTGCCTTTACCTAGCATCTGTATGGCACAATGTTGTCTATATACATTTCTAACCAAAAATATTTTATATTAGGGTAACTTTATTAAGGTCAGAAAATAAACCCGCATACACAAAACAAACATTCCAATCCTGTGTGTAAAGTGCTCAGCGGTCATTTTTGCTAACCTTTAACTGAACTGTTATTTTAAATTTATGAGTCAGAAATGCAGGGGAATCATGCTGATGTTCCAAAAATGCTGATCATCTTTTCCTAAATGCTGGACTCTCAGAAAACAAATGCTTATTTATGAATTAATCCCTCATTGGTGAGATTTCACAAAGCCATTTGAAAGACGTAGATTAAAACAATAAAGAAAAGTTGGACCATCGCCTCGTATACAATTACATCAAAATATGACGCATCAGAAATTCCTATACATGGAGGGTCTCTAACAATGTGAGGATTCAGGATTATATAAATCACAACGCTCTGCACTATAATCACATGACAGAATAGACCTGCAAAGCTTATTATACTGCATACCCAGATGGTAAACAACAGTTGTCGCTGTACTAAGAATTACATCTCTGTAATCAATAATAGGAAGGAGGAACAGTTGGACAACTTGTTTCCTATTATGTTCACTTAGGCAACGTCTAGATCAATAAAGAGCATTAAGCCTCATACCAACTGTAGACGATGCCAGCTCAACATGCCTATCGTATGGTAGCGATGGGTCCAGCTGTACTTCAAAATACTTGTAAATGGATAACAATTCTAAGCTAACATTAAAAAGAAGCAGTGATTCAAATAGCAGGCAGGTGCAGGGCTTCTTTAGCATATGAGAGAAGACAGACCTACAATGCCAGTTTTAGTCTAAGTCAAAGTCAGCTTCTTTTGTTAACCCATCCCATAATAACATTTCACTACAGCCTATCTGAAGGATGCTACGTGTTTTATACGGAGGAAAGAAAAAAAGCAATCAAGCACAGTATCGCTGGCTTACATATAGACTCAGTAATTATGTGGGTATAGTAAGCTGTTCGCAAAAATTGAAAATGGAACTTGTGTATCGCTCTAGGCCAATATGGCAATTAGTTACGAGTAATTTTTTTAGTTCATCCATTTTTAACTATTTAAACAAACAAGAAATCAAACCATTCAGCTACATTCTTGTCTTACTTAAAAATCTATCATATAAATGCGAAAATCCTGGGTTTTAAACTTTCCTTATATTCCGTACTTTCATAATGCATCACATTGAAGCCGTCTCACATCACAAGTCCCAGTTTACTCTTAGACGGTCATTCAATTTCCAGGTGACAAACCAGGCCAATGAGCTCTTCTTACCTATTCCAATAAAGACCGCTTCGTAGCCATCTTCTTTCAAGGTACGGAGTGTCATTCCATCCACGGCGAGGCCTTTCCTAAAAATTATCTGAAAGAATGAAAGATTACTTGCTTTTAATGTGATAACATGAAAATAATTTCTACCATGTCCTGCATACAGACACCTCACAGGACCTTCTAGTGAACAAAGCAGATTTTTTTTTTTTTTTTTTTTCCCCCCAAGCCAGGCTTAAAAGCCCAGGTTGGCTCTGATTTAAACAAGTGGCCTGAACTAGATATGGGTAACGTGTACCTTCATGTCATCCTCACATGGGGGCCGCCACAGGCTTGGTTTCTGCTGTAAGCTAAAAGAGTTAAAGCAAGCTAAACAAACAAAACAAAGCCTGTCTCTGGAACACAACACTGAAGTAAAGCTGAAAACGGCACTTTTCTACCGCGAGTAAATCACTGTATTCAGCGCTGTCTGTAAAAGGTTGTTTTCCCATGTGAAAATCAGAATTTAAGAAACATGATGGGGAAGCAAGAACCTCCTTTAGGGAATATGCGCTAAACGGAACAATCACCCAGCACACCAACCAAAAAACAAGCGGTTTAGGTTATTGCAGAAACATTAGTGAAAGTATGAGCCTCTTACAGAGAAATAAAGAACATAAAAGACACGGCACTATTCTGCATTAACAGGGGATCTGAACAGAAAACCAAGCAATGTTTTCCCGCACAGTATCAGGCGCTTGGTTGGCCTCCAACTGCGCAGGATGCAATGCCAGTCCTGAAGGAAGGGTGGTATTGCTTCGTGCTGCACCCTCAAAGCTCGCAGCCTGAATTTTGCACTGAGACCACTAGCTAGAACACCTGTATGCCAAAAACCCTCAGTGAAGCCAACGGTATTTCTGTGGATTCACAAAAGCTGCCTGCAAAAGACTGGGCGACAGTAAGTCTGGAGAACGTTCCGTGCAAATTACAGCATGCCCTACTTGCTCGTAATGAAGCAGACTGTTCTGTGTGGCCAACTAACCAAGGTTTTCAAAATATGAACGAGATCAGTTTTGATTTAAACTTGTTTAATTCTAATTTAGAGAAGCAACAATGCCCAGAGTGCAGTGACTGGTGTTCACATATCGAACGAAGTCACAGTAATGAAAATGCACCTATAATCTACACGTGTTTCAGTTCAACTACTACTCACTTCCAGAAGCAAAAGCTGAAAAATATTTGAGTAATGTTCCACCAGCCACCGCACAGGTTGAGCAACTACAGCTGCTATAGGAGTGTAGCATAGAGTGTTATAACTCCTATAGAGTGTTTGCTGCATGTTCAGCAAGCCAACTACAGCAGTCTCCCGTGTAGAGGCCACGCAACGGAAGATACACACACCCTTTGCTCATCTCTCCTAACCCCAAGGCTCTTGAGCGCGTAAAGCGTGTGTGATTCCTCTTCTGATATTCTGTACTTCTTGACATGGGAACAAACATACGTGTGCTTCTATCTCCATACTTCAGACTCCCTGAACTTGAATGTTTTCCCCCGTTTTTTGACATATCACTTGTGTATTCACTTTACAAAATGCCACGTTCCACTGTGTAAGCACTATAATTTGTGATCTTAACAGTTTCATTTTCATGTCATTGTCTATCTTGTTTGTTATTGAATCTGCCTATATTCCATTTAATATACTTCTCCTACTGGTGAAAAAAAAGGCAGATGTAAAATACAGTGTACAATACTTAAAACGCTGACTTTTTTCTTGTCTTTGGAGATTTAGTATAAATTTTATCAGAGGTACAAAAGCCATGTACAGTTGTAATCCTTTTAAGAATACAGGCCACATCCTCACTGGCATCAAAACGTGTTCCCTAAATTGTCATTACATTTTTTTATCCTATTGTGTACAGATGTTATGAAAACCTAATGAAGGAATTTAAACGGCAATACTATTTTATGTGGGGATTCATAATACTCCTAGGGCCTAGCTCTGTAATCCTTATTCAGCTGACTAATTCTTACTAATTTCAGTAGAATTACTTGAATAAACAGCAGTACTGAGCATTCACACAATACAGCACCTTCCACCACAGATTCGAAATGCTTTAAGTAAACACCAAGAAGTATTTCCAGCTTATAGAGGTATAAAGCTAAGGTACTTAGTTAACCAGGTTGCCAAAGGGTCAATTGCAAACCAATGGCAGAGCTTGGAAGCAAATTTACATTGAGATTCTCTGCCGCGCTTCAAAACCGCAGAGGACTTGCGGGTCAAGATGACGTGGTGGCTCTATCAGTCCATTCCGGACACGCTGTCATAGCCTCAGGGAACTGAGTTTTGCAGAGGGTTCCCAGGAGCCTACGCCCAGCAATTTTGTCTAAAATTGTCTCAGTGCCCTGTTTTTAGCCCCATCCCTAACTGAACCTCCATTCTGTCCGTCTTTTCAAGGGTTGCAAAGGGATCTTTAGAGTGGAAAAATAGACCTATGTAGCATTTAAAGCCTTATCTTACATCTTACCAGCATTTTTATAAAATCTGGGCAGGATGAGGTTCTCACTTGGGTCTTGTGACAACAGTCCACTGCTTTTATGGTATGAACCAACACGAAAGATTCCAAGAAGAATTTCCTGCTTCACTGAACACTTTAGTTTCATGTTAAAAATACATTATCCCTCCTGGTACTCAAAAACTTGATCCAGTGATGCATTCTACATTTGTAACTTCTATTAAAATGTGCAGCGGTTGTAAATACTATCTAAATCTTCAGCTCAAGCCCTAAATTAACAATAAAGCAATGTTCCCATTATCTATAAACAACACACATTTGTTTAACAGAATAATGCATAACTATCGCCTTCCAAGAAGTTGAATGACTGTTATTGTTTATAATAGATGATCATGTTAACACTTTGTTTAATTGGATGCATTTTATTATAAAATTAACTTGGATGCAAGACTGTATTATAAGCCATTAAGAAAAAACTCAGGGAGAGGGAACGAAAGGAGAAGTATCAAATATGAATGTTTTAAGTAGTGCCAAACTTGCAGGAAAAAAACTCGATGAAAAAAAAAAATCAAATCATTCCAATAGCTACATTGAACCCCTAAAGCAATTTAGGAATTTGTTTCTTACAGACAATTAATCACATGCAGGCATGCCAGATGAGAACTATTGATTGCCCTTTTCCAAACTAGTGGCATTCAGACAGGAGACAGACAAATGCCCTGAGCAAGAGGAAGCATCTTCCTGCCTCTGTCTAGCATAGCTTTTAATTGTTCTTTACCAATGTGCATGACATTTTGCTGTTAATCTTTGGCAGAGTTCTTGTTCTTTTTTCTTTAAGCTATACATAGGCAGGATATATTTTTCATTACCTTCACTCCAAGATCCTTCATAAGCTCAGCTTCAAAATTCACCACATCATATGGCAATCGGAACTGGGGGATTTCAGACGTACTGAAATAAATAAAAATGCCTGTGAAATACTTCCAGCTATTAGGAAGAAAGGATTTTTTTTAGTTGTTAAAAATTCAATACTTACAACACACCATAGTTAATTTTGACATATGTGAATGCAAATGTGCTTACACTTGACCATTGGCTTTTTTAAATTGTTGCAGTGACAAAACAGCATTATTCACTCAATGCTAAAAATATAGGCTAGGAAGGCAGTACCTTGAGGCCAATCCTGCCCACACTTGTAGATAACCATTTAACATTATGTCAAGCTTGGTCCAAAAGAGCTTCAGGTCCATTCCTTTTGTTCACCAGAATATGTACCACTAAACAAACTTAAGACATCCATTTAAGAAAAGATCTCACGGCTACTAAAAGCAAAGTGATCTTCTAGCAACCATTCATTAAGCTAGCCAGTAAGAAAGATTTTTTTTTTTTTTTAAAAAGTGTTGCATATGCTATTTTGAGCAACAGTATTTAAAAATGTACCCTCCTCCATCTCTACTTCATAAATTTTTTATGAACTTTCAGGATGGACAAAGTCAGTAATTTTTTACCAGCTCTTGGTCTCAAGTCTGCTTTCTGACTTAACATTTATTAGCTGGCATTTTGTCCTCCTGGGGAAGATTGGGAATGACATCTTCAAGTTCCCAGAATCACAGCTCTCCTGTATGGGAAAACTGCAGTACCAGCATACAATCTCAGTTTATATCTACTGGTACAGATCTTTATTTCCAATGAAACGACATCTACTTATGCCAGTCGAAAATCTCTCTCATACAACACATTACAGGTAAACACAGTGAAGCTCTATTTTAGATCATACAGTCTTTTAGGTTGGAAAAGACCTTTAAGATCATCCAGTCCAACCATTAACCTATACTTTTGTTCAATGAAGATTAAAAAAACCTGACTATGCAGAAAAGTGAAAGTCTCTCCCCAGATATTTCTAAGCTTCAGTCTAATCTGTTGTCAAATTAATGGATCTACAATTTCCGTAACAAAGCACTGGCACAAGAGATTCACCGTGGCTTTATTTTACACGTTGTTAGCGACCACACCATCTTTAGCATCTAACTTCGACAGGCCAGAAGGATTTTAAGTTGCATCAACTTTAATTATATTGATAAGAAACTGCTGTTCCTCCTTATCATTTCTATTACTGCCCTTTTTTCACCTTTCCTGACCAGTGTGCAATGAAAAGTGTTCGAAATACCAGATGTAATGAACGTGTCATGACAATACAACTTTCATAGGTCACGCTAAGTAAAAAGGTGTCTGAGGCAAAAACTAATGTATCAATATGATTCTGCAACAGAGATTCAATAAAGAGATCTAATAAAAACCGGAAAGTTCTATTTTCCAAGCCACCTATCTTTTTGTTGAAGGCCTGTCATTTCCATGACTCTTAGAAGAATCCAGAACAGCACTGGCTGTGTTATGTCACTGTCAGAATTTGTAAACCATTTTTGCTCTTATTAAACATTTACTTACAGTTTTGTGCTGTGGAGAGTACCCACATATATGCACATACAGATGTACATATATGTTCATATGCAAATACACACAGTTCTGTGGGGACACATGCGTGCACGTTTACCATGAAAATAAACATTTTATGGAAGTCAACTGGTACATCAATAATTCTGCTATAATTTCTGTCAGCACCAGAAGACAGTCTCTGACCGCAATGGAGAGACAGAGGGGGAGAAGGAAACAGGGCAGAGGTGCAGGAGGGAGGCAGTGAATGGGAACAGTGTCCCACAAATTCACCTCTTCCTCCCTCAAATCTGATCCAAGTTAGAGGTGCTTGGTGTTTCTCAGTGATCCCAAATTACTTTTGCTCAAGGGACACCCATTTAGCCTAGCGAGAGAAGTACTTTGGCATGTTGTAAACCAGCGGCATAGCTAGGAGCATGAGCAGCGAAGCGTCTCTAAGCACGAGCGTGATCTGCTCATGCCTACTCTACTACAAAGCATAAAGTTTACACAACTGGTGAAATGTAGGAAAACTTGCCCGTGAACGTGAAAAATTCAGGTGTGTCCAGACAACCACAGACTTATGCTAGGCTTAAATATCACACCACAGGAACTGCAATCACTAGGCAGCTTTCCTTTGTCTAAATATTAAAGTTAGCTATGATCCAACATGTACGTGAAGGAACATCCTAGTTAAAAACATTTTAAAAAAGGCAGCACAAACTAGAAAAGGGCACAAGCACTGCCCTTCCAAACAGCTGATTCCAAAATTAATTTGGTCTTGTTAGCCATTTGCAAAAGTTTATGAAGTCTTGAAAACACACCCATCAATAACCTAAACTTGTTAGAAGATGTACTGCAAAGACTTACAACTGCAATAATGGATGACTGCTGCCACAGGCCAGCCTCCCTTCTGTTCCAAGACGAAAATAAGGACAAAAGGAATTGATGCCCTTAAACCAGACGTGAAACTTTCTACAATGACTGGAAGTAAAATTTGACCTTGATTGCTATGTGTTCTTTCACAGAATCATAGAATCACTGAGGTCGGAAAAGACCTTTAAGACCATCGAGTCCAACTGTAAGACTCTTAAGACCCAAAAGAAAGGCAGAGAAATTAAAACGCACTGCTTGACCATTAAGGATACTAACAGAACAGGCAAGACTTAGGTGTAAGGCTTTTTGCAGCAGCACAGACTAAGCTTCATTTTAAATTCAAATTAAGACATGAAGAACAGATGTAACTTAAGATCACACTGCTTCAAATATGCAAGCGCCCAGTAAGCGACTGCAGGATTCTACTGCAAGCACTGCAAGCAACGGCAGAAGTACTGTATTACGTTGCTGAGTCCAACCGGAGTCTAACCCGCCACCAAGTGAAGCTTCATGGTTAGAAACACCTCATTATTTCTTACTACTCTACAGCAACAAAACTGGTTTTAAATCTGGTACTTATGAAAACATGTGCTACTCAACAGGTGAATAGGTATTTCATATACTAAATTCGCAACCCTCTATGGCAACCAGTTCAAGTAAAACAGCTCCACAGTTAAATGCCCATGTATTAACACCTTGATAACTAGGTAGAATACTTCTGAACCTCACTGCGAAAAATGCAAGTAGTCACTTGAACTTCTCCAGCACTGATTCTCTATCTTCCAGAGCACTGAATAAGTATTTGACATTATGACAATATGGATCAAATTCATTAATGGTGTCAACTCCATTGATTTCAGTGGTGCTGCAATGAGAAATGTGAGCACGTCACCCTTCTTTCTCTCTCTGTTTCTTTTCACTTTTTATTTTGTACACACTTTAGTGTGAGTACATCTTCAACACGTAAAATTTAATTTTGATTTTGAATGGGCTGGTATCCACTAGTCAGTTTCTGAAATATTTTTTCTTATACTTAGGGATTCCAACAAACTTAGAAGGTAGGATCTCAGCCATTGTTCCAGTGGTAAAAATCAATCTTCTAGTGTCGAGGACATGACACCATGCAAATACCAACCAAGTGTTTACCATACAGGAAAACAGCAAAGGTACCTTCCTTTCTGTATCTGCAATTTGTTGAAGGTTGAGAATGGCAGGGGTTTGTTTCACTCTTATGGCATGGTTTACTAAAGCTGTAAGCCCAGGCATACATGACAGATTTATTCACTGTCACCTTTATTTGCATAAGGTAGTTCATGAAAGCATTCCATATTTAAAATTCTCCATGAAATTAGTATCCGTCTAAAGCATTTAAACACCTACTGATTCTTTCACCATGTAGGGCTACAAGTACTTCACCTTGCTTTAAAAGTTCTGGATAAGAGAAAAGGGTTCCTGACATGAATTTCTGAAGTGTTAATTTGATAATAACAATTGCACCCTCAAATTTTAGCGGTCATATGAAGACAATATAGGAGATAGCCACCAGATTTTCAGTTAAAGTTTGCCTGTAACTGTACCTATTTTAACTTGAATGATGAATTATTTAAATAAAAAATAAGTTTTCCAGATCTGAAATCTTCTACTCTCTTCCTTTGATAAAGGTACAGCGATTGTGTTTAAACGATGTTTGCACAATATTTTTTGCTATGCTTTCTACGATCACTGAAAATAGTGCTTTGTTGTCATTGTTTTTTACCTTAAGCCACCAACGTACTCCTGCTTTTCAAATATGGTGATGTTCGAATAGCCCAATCGAGCCAAAAAGGAAGCACAACTTAAACTTGCAGGTCCTGCGCCAAGGAGAGCTATCTTCACGTGATAGGCTGCAGGCATATCTTCTAGAGGAGGTAAGGAAGGGTTTCTGATCTGAGGAATATTCATAGCTTTGAACACCTGAAAAGCAATACATTCAACAGGTTACACAGTTCACATTCCTTCCTTAAATTTTGTTATGAACAACATGATGGAAGCTTCCGCTAGTACTGTCACATATCGTTGATGTATTATTGCAGATCACTTCATACCATCATATGGATTCCCGACTGACATGTATGCATTCGTGAGGGATGTTGTAGTTGCAGGGCTTGGTCCTTCTGTGATTCTTTTTGTCTTAAAAATGTCTGAAGTCACATCTTTCACTACTGTAAATTTTACAGAGAAGATGGAACCAGACTACCAGTAACAGAATAGTAATACAAAGTCAGCCAGATGGCAGAGAATCTCTCTAACACCAAAAATTTCCTTCCAAACAATGTTCAAATTATACTTACTACTAGAAAGGTATTTTTGCAAATAAAACAAAGGATTGTAACATCAGTGAAGGCGCTTTGCTTCTTCAAGAGACATCTTGTGTGATCCTGGATAAATCACTTATGGCTTGACTTTTTAGAGGTGGTAGGTAACCAACCTTAGGTGGTTTTGAAATTTTTTTTAGGAACAGCTCCTAGTCTTCGTGCTATATTTTCAAAGGGAACCCATGCTTTAGATGCCTCCTCTTAGACAATTCTAATAGGACTTATTTCATGTTAGTTGATCATCCATTTCAGATGTTCTCCGCTTTTTCATCCGGTGTCCGAAAGTTGCAGGCATACCTGAAAGTTAACACTGTTCTCCCTATGCCTCAGTTCTGGTGACGATCTGCTCCATTCTTCTCCTCACTATTAAAAGTACTTTGGGACAGTCTCTGACCACTATTATGTATTTATACAGAACCCAGCACGATGGGCTCCTAACCTAGTTGCAGCATCACACAGTTTATTTTAGATTTGCATTAAATCAGTTCTTTGCTCAGGCATACGCATAAGAGGCTAAGGCAGAAATATTCTACGTTCGCTACACCAGACTTCACTGTCCTCTGCACTGACATACATTGTAGGGGAAGGAATGGAGTCTCTATTTTGTATAACCTACAGAAGGAAAGAATAGACTCACAGCTCTTGGAAGCTACTAAAGATTAGGAGCATGGAAGAGCATAGTTTTCATTTTATTTCAGGCATAATGGGGAAAATATTTAACCCAAGGAGCATATCTTCATAGCAGAAGCACAACATTAGACCAAAAGGATACAAGAGTTCATTGCACTGGGATTCTCAGTCATATCACAAACATTTCAAGTCTGCAACTAAAAAACTATCAGAAGGCAGCATTTTTCCCCACCTATTTCGACACAGAACTGTGTTCCAGAAGTACTAACTAGTCCTCTAAAACACATACATTGTCATTTGCCTTAATAAATATCGTATTTAAGCTATTTAACAAGTTTACCAACAGTTTTTACTTTCCTTCGAACTCAAGAAGCAAAGGTTTTTCAAATTAGACTTTGGCAATTCCTCTCATGAATAGAATTTTTCATTTGTGTTTTGAATCAATGTTCATTTTCTTCATGCGTACTTGAGCACTCGTGCTAGGTAAACCAATGATTAGTTCCTTCCCCCTCTAAAATTTCTGTGTCAAATTCCCCCAGTCTTTGTAAATTGACATAGCATTTTAACAAACTGCAAGAAGCAAGAGACAGATAATTGTTTTCAAAAAAGAATCATTTAAACCTGACAATTCATACAATATGGGAAGGTTTAATGTGGTTATTAATGGATTTCACAGGCTGCAAAGCTTATATTGTGCTGTGAAACTAGACTGTGATAACCAAAATGCAATAGGATATTTTTAAAATGTCTGCTTTGTTACATTCACACAGAAATGGCTTGAATGATACCAAATTTCCATTAAAGTCTCATGCAGTTGTTTCAGAAGGCTACTCAGTAATACACATGCTATAACTTGCACATTTAATGTGCCCGTTGAACACTATGAATATGCATATGCTTAATAAATTTATCACTAAATTTACTTTATTGTTAACATAATTATTCTTATATTTATTATCAAATAGTCATACCCATCAACTAAATGTTATATAAAGCGCCACGCTACTGTAGTGCAGCGTTAAGCTTCAGAAACCAAGCACTCATGCAGGAAATCCTAGTAGTTCAGGCTGAATGGTCAACTTTAATTCTGCCTATTTGCAAACAGGGTGAAACCGTCTTTCTGCAGCACAGCCAGCTTCTGCGGCGATATCTTGCCATCTGGAATTCAGCGGCAGTTTTGCATATTAAGGCTGGCAGGGTAACTGTGTGAAAATAGCAAACTGCTTCAATGCGTTTCAAAAGATTTTTACTCACCTCATGGCAAAGTTTCCCAAATTCACCTAATTAAATATCACTGAATTCTCCTGTACAAAGCCTTTGGTGTGCAGAAATGACTACCTTGCAAGCAAGTGTTCAATGCCACATTATATGCAACTGCCCTCTCCGATTTTTCTCTGCTCAGACTGTGGTCAGGATGCAAGTAAAGTTTAATACTATTGCCTTTCTTGTCCACCTTCCCCTCAAAAAGATGATTTCATTTCTGTTTGGATGGAGTTTTTCTTTTGGTTTGTAGTGCTTTGTAACCAAGAGCCATTCAGGAAAGTGAGACCAAATAATGAATTTTAAAGCTGAATCTCTCAGTGGAAAGACTCAGCCATCATCCCCATGTCTGCCTTTCCTTCTGGCGCTCTCTCATAGGCAAACAAAAGAGGTTAGGTGGATTATTAATAGACATTAATAACACTGGGCATTGATTCTTTAACTTTTTATCAAATACTATGCAATCATCATTACTTCACCATCCAGGGCCTATTCAAACTAAACCCACACAGATTCCATCCACTTCTTGTGCTTCATGCCCACTGGGGTCCATAGAAATGATACAGAATCATAGAATCGTTTAGGTTGGAAAAGACCTGTAAGACCATCAAGTCCAACCAGTAATCTAACACTACCAAGTCCACCACTAAACCAATTAAGGGTGAAGTAATATTAATTTCATGTTTCCTGGCTTGGGGGCTGGATTATTTTTTTAAGAAAGTAAAACTAGGAAAAATTAAGGTTTAAAAGGATCTCTAAGCTCATAAGTCCAACCATCAACCCAACACCACCATGCCCACTAAACCATGTCCCAAAGCGCCACGTCTACACACTTACAAAATGTCCCAGTTTCCAAAAAAGATTATGGAGATTTTGTCCTCAAGTGACATACAACTTGACCAAATGGAAACAGCCAATCTATTCTGCTAAAGTTCCAGCAACTGAAACAAATTCTCTCTTGATTCAGACATTTATAACATATTGCAGTTTCCCTGTTTGCATTACTTTAACGTGTAAAGGTGTGAGTGCACTTGCTCAATGTTCCCTCCAGTGTGAAATCTGGAGGTTTGTTCTCTTCTCCGTTGTAAATTAAACATCCTTTCACTGCAGTGGGGTTGGCTCTTGATCCGAAACATTCAGTATACTCACTCGACAAAGAGCATAATTCCAGGCACTGTATGCAAATACAAGTTTGTATTAAGGTTCCACAATATTTCCCACTTCAGCAAACTATAGTGGTTTCCATTGCTGAGCATCCGATTCAAGTTTAATTTTCCTGGAAAGTTTTAGCCAACTCACTTTAGCTGTTTTTCAGAATGCAGACAGGGAAAACTTTATTGTTCTCCTCATGTGATAAAATCCTGGTTCTTTTCTTCACTATGCGACTCCAGTATTAGCATGTTTTGATGAAAAGATGTGACATTTGGCAGAGAGTGGCAGGTGACTCAGAGAAATGCATTTTGCTAACCTGATGAAAATCATTTTATGGCATAGTAAGCATGATTTAAATGAATCTACAACATTTAAAACCATTAGAGCAGGTTAGAACTGTTACTCAAAATCGTTTTCTCAATTTTTATATAAATTAGAATAAATTAAAGTAACTCACATCAGTCCTTTTGAGTTTTCTGATCAGAATTGTTCTAAGAGGAATATACTGCAGATACCCTTCTCCACCTATCTGCAGAATTCAAATATGGTCAAACAGTTTTACTCTAACTCACCTTTATTTAAAATTATCTTTGGACTATGACAAAGAATGTGTTAAATAAAACAGTAAATAGACTGAAAGTTTAACCTCGGTGTTAAAATGTAAAAAAGCATTTGCCTAATCCTTTGAAACAAGATAGGCTGCTAAAAAGCATATTTGGTAGTCTCCAAGACATACACAGAAGGTCATATTTCTTAATTAAAAAGTGCACCTGTTTAATCTCTCATCTTCATCACAAAACCTTCATCAACAGAAAAAGGCTGAAATACAAAAAAATGAGGAAAATTTAATAGTTTAGTAACGTAAGTTTTGAATTCATAACTACATCCTTTACATTCTTGAGGCATAATGCCTGCTTCCGTGCTTAAAAAGCTATAGAAATAAGTTCATTAGTCAGGTTTGCCGTTAAATACCCTTTGCTGAGATGATGAGATACCAAACCGCTGCTGATGTAGACATTAGCATCTAGCTGGTATTTATTTTAGTGTGAAGCACATGAGTATGTTCCGAATTGTTATCAGATTTTGCTAGTGCACAGAAAGAAAAATACAGGCAATGCAATCAGTAACATTTAGGAACTGATTGTATTAGTTTCACACTTTCCCACTGTCTTCCATGGATATTTATCTGTAGGCTGGTTTACATGAATATGGGGCAGTTGACTATTTAAAGGAGAAAATAATATTCTGCACAGATTTTAATAAAAAATGAAGCAAACTGCATGCTCAGTTATATTCTTGAAGTTGTCAAATTCCATGATCACACATGAATTTCATGTAATTGTAGTGGATAGCACAGGATGTAGAGGAAGTGGGTTTTCCACAAACATGAGCTAGTTCGGAAAACTTCTTGATCCTCCCTCCACAAGTTAACCCATGGATCTAGAACACTGCAGAGTCCATATCTCAAAATCTCATGAATCCCACCACTAAAAAGGACACAGTAACATTCATGTAAATGCCTTAAAAAACGCAAACAATGTTTAATGTCTGTAAAACATGCTGTAAAGAAGTTTATATAACTTGTCCAAATATCAACAGCAATTTCAGCATTGGCCTGAGAAATCAGAAGTCCTCAGATTCATCCCCTGAACTATTACAGAATCATGGAATCATTTAGGTTGGAAAAGACCTTTAAGATCATCCAGCCCAACCATTAGCCTAACACTGCCAATTGTAGAAGGCTGCACCATCCCCTTCAAACAAGCCTAAAATTTTGTAATTGATTATTCTAGATTTCAACATAAAATCATAGAATCGTTTAGGTTGGAAAAGACCTTTAAGATCATCGCGTCCAACCGTTAACCTAACACGGCCAAGTCCACCACCAAACCATGTCCCTAAGCGCCACATCTGTTAAGTGTTAACAAATAAGTCTCTGAAGGTGTTTCTTTGTAGGATGGAGAAACAGGACTGAAAAGAGAAAATAACCTAAAGATGTGTTAAAATAAAAACTAATACTGACAAATAGAGTTTGCTTTCCGTTTGTCCCTCCGTGGCAATCCCCCGGGCAGCCGTTGCTTCCTTGCCCGTGGTGGCTTGGGGGAGAAGGGAGGTTCGGCACCCCGCGAGGGACCCTCGCCGCAGCCCACCTCCCAGCCCGGGCGCTCTGCCGAGGTGCCCCGAGGCTAACAGCAGGTGAGCTTGTACAATGCCTCTTTCAGGGGAAAAGAAAAAAAAAAAAAACAAACATATCAAATTTCCTTTTCCAATTTCTTTCTGCTGCAACAGCGGCCAGAATATACCTCCAGAGAGGAACAAATCACCAGAACTGGAGCTGGCAGAAGAGTCACAGTACTAAATGATCTAGTATTTAAATCTAGTATGCAGCGATTAAAATAATACATTTTCTGTTTAGCTTGTGCTGCTCCATTCCGAATGATTAACTAGAAATGCCGGAGAGCCTTCAGATTCAGTAATGTCTATCCAGAAATGTAAGATTTTGAGGGCTTCTAATACTACAACAGACGATGTAATAGATCACGCTGGTTTTTTTACTGCAAGCTTACAAACTTGTGCTTGAGTAACCAGTAATTTTAGTTTATTTTGTGGGACTGACAGTCATATAGCTCACGCCTGTATGCACTGTCGCTGCAATCTCAGTATATTTTCACTGAACTTGTGTTCCAAAAACAGAGATGTTTCCTGATTCTAAAGTACTTGGGCAAAGGAGACAGATAAAGACATTAATATAATTTTGACCTGTGCAGTAGCAGGTGTAACCTGCGCTTGACACTCATCATTTATAATAGTGAGCTTTTACTCCATGTTATTCTCTAGATGCAACAGTTACCGTGGTAACTGCATCCCAGCATACACATTCTACATCACAAATACAAACGGACATTTCCTTTTTTTTTTTTTTTTTTTCACTTGAACATTTAATTGTCAAAATCCACATTTTTTTTCAGACCAGATTACGAGTTACTTTGAGAATGAGCCTAACATAGTTACAAAACTGTATGGAAGGGTAGAAGGAAAATGCAGGAGGCGTGAGGTGCAATTTTTTTTGTTCTACTGTACACAAGACAAATATTTTACAATTAGGGAGTTTTATCTGCAGTATGAACAGATGATCAGTCATTGTTCAGAAGCACAAAGGGGCATACGTCATACCCATATATTTTCCATTTTAAATGCAC